TGATATCGTGTAGGGTTTATAACAGATACATTGTAGAATCCTAGATGTGAACTAAGGTTCTGTGTCAATGCTTATGTTAACTCAATATTTGTACCTATCAACCAGTTTTAGCAAAAAGAGAAAAATAGTGGAATTAAAAGAGTTAGAAGCACATCTCCGTGAAAAAAATGCTCTTTAAATCATCAACAAGAAAATTTTAAACATGTCTTCTGAAAATTGTATATCATACACAAAATTGTGTGGAATCGTTTGTTGTCCCCCGTTTCCGTCAAGTTGGGTATCAAAGTTAGCTTTTTTTCCACCAGCTATTAAAACATATGAGCTTATTCCAACACAAACTAATTCAAATCGATTTGCCCTTTATTTATCACCGGAATTTTGTCATGCTAGCCTATATCAACTAATACAGCAAGATGCTCGCTTCATGCAAACATCAAAAGGAAGTATTATCGCTGTAGTGTTTATAAAATGCACCGAGAACAAGAACTACACTATTCTCTACAGCCATAATAATGCTAATGATATTGGGTCTGTCTTTGACTTTTGTATAGATCTAAGTTTGAAGACTGGTTGTGATGTCGTAACATATGATTACTCAGGTTATGGCAGAAGCACCGGGAAACCATCTGAAAAGAATATTTACGCTGACATCAAAGCTGCGTGGGATTGCATACTTGCATTCTATGAACCAAATCCACAAAAAATTATATTATTTGGGGAAAGCATCGGAACAGTGCCAACAATTGATTTGGCGTCTAAAGTGAGGTGTGGTGGCGTCATAGTTCAGTCCCCCATTATGTCAGCTTTAAGATTTGTCTGCCCAAATGACAATAACTGTAGATTTTTCGATTGTATGAACAGGTAAATATGATATGGCGATATTTCTGTATCGTGATCTGTCACGCCAACTTCAATCGCCGAGGTGCTAAATAGATTTTGAACTTGCTTTTTTTCTTCTTTTTTTTTTTGTTTTTTGCAAAAGCATGTAGATGCTTAGCCGGGGGGGGGGGCTTAATACCTCCTACAAAAGAGAAGGCCTTAGCACGGGTTACCACAACCAAGAAATTTGTTCCTTTAGTAGTCCAAACGTAATGACATCTTTCATATTTTCCACCACTGCGCAACTTAGTAGCCCTAACGTAGTCACATCTTTCTTCCTTTTTATCGACTGCTCAGTTTATGTTCCTCACGTCGGACTACTGAATTGATCCTTGCTGAGGCCTTCGTTCTTCTAGGAGGTGTGGGTGGCTATATGCTATACCTTTCGAGTGGGTCCCTTTCTCTGATGCTTTGTTTAGTTTCTCGTTGGCCTCTGCCCGAACGCTGCAAAGACTTGGCAATTATGCTGCCACAGATCACGATACGGAAACCTCCTCTTAGATTAACTATGTTCTAACGAATTTTGTGCAAAAGAGTGATAAACGAAATCAGAATTAAAAATAAAATAGGAAGAGAATTTAAAATTTTTATTTCATTAAAATTGTTACCTTCTGCATTTGCGGGTGATGGAAACAAATTATTATTATTATTATTTCTCTTATATGTATTTGTAATCATAGTTTAACTCCAGATACATAAAAAATTATACCATAAAATTTTAATGTATAATAGTTCAAATTTAAATATGCTCTACAAAAGTCGCCAATATTTCAATGTTTACTCGGCAGGAGTTAGTATCATGACTTAATTTTTATGTATCTTTACCATTTGTCAAGATTAAAAGAGCTGCAACAAAAGTGGAAACGATTATTTATACAAAACAAGCAATCTTATGGAAATTTCCTAGGGAAAAATATGAGTATCCCGCATGTATATAAATGTGTCATATCGCCACTCTTCACGCGAAGTACAAAAGTAAAAATTAAATTTATCAGTATTTGTTTATACCTCCATCTTTATAATTTCTCCATTTCTTAATAGAATATTCCACATTAGAGTAAAACATAAAACTATATAAGGGACTAACATAATTATTTTGAATGAATTAGTGAAGTTTTGGGTGTTGGTTTTGAGTGCTGTAGAAAGTTAGTTAGTACTTTTTCTTTAAACAAAAAAATTGCTTTTTTCATTAAAAAAGTTTTAAGTATAATAAAAAGTTATTTGAATAAATATTTGATAATTTTTGGTTTGATATGACATTTCAAGTTCTGGATCATTATAAATATTTGACTTATTTATAATGATTAATTGATATATTTTTAAAGTCTCTTAGACTTAAGTCTAAAGATATTGAATGGCCAATCCCTCCGGTAAATAGATTAGCAATACAGAAAATCTTCGACATATTGAGATCTATGTGGTTGCGCGTAGTCATTCATATAAATGAAATTGAAACCAAAAGACTCAATAAAAAGCCAACATAAATTTTTGAAAGCACATATCTATGCTCAAACCATTAACATCGTCTCTTTTAATGTCTCGGCGGTCATCTGCCCACCCTAAATGATGTCTAGCAAGACCATAAAATTCTTGATTCCATGATGGTAGATCTTTCAGATAATTGGCTTGTTTTGATCTGTAGACAGAACCTCGGATCCTTAACCTTACTGTTCTGTTGTTGTTGCTGTAGTTCATTTACGTCGCACTAGAGCTGCCCAATAGGCTATCGGCGACGGTCTGGGAAACATCCCCGAGAATGATCCGATATATTTTTTTATGATTAATCTTAAAATTTGTTCGTTAATTGTCTTCGAGTACAAAAAGTTTTAGAGATGGTAAGTTGGTTGGTTGTCATGTTTCGGTCATGGAAAATAAATTAATAAGACGCTATATGTAGGACAGAAGGTCCTACAAACTGCTTCAGCTATATCAAGGCAAAGGTCCGAATAACGACCATCTTGTAGACAATTACAGAGAAATTCAACATTTCTGAGGCTCTGGAAACCTTTTTTAATGGATAATTAATAATATATTTTAAGATCAATAATATATTTCTTATTTTATTAGTTATCGAGGAAGATAATTATTTCTTTATTCAGATTTACATTTCTTTGTTAAATACTTTTTTTTAAATTTACTTTTACAGCGTACGGAAAGTGAGAAAAGTGACTGCACCTGTCTTGGTTGTCCATGGTACAGAAGATGATTTAGTCGACTTCACTCACGGGGAAACCATATATAAAAATTGTCCAAGAGCTGTTGAGCCACTGTGGTTAGAAGGAGTAGGCCATCATGACATTGAGCTAGATGAAGAATATGTTGACAGGCTTCTTAAATTTATGCATGAAGATATCGCCTCCTAGTGCATGCGACTTTATTAATTGCATATCTTTCCAAAATTTACATATCACTCTAAAAATAAATATATTAAAAAAAATATTAACAACTTTGAGTGCTGAAATTATTTTATTTTTCTTGGTTGTTATTCTTTTCAAAATTTACAGAACACACTCAAAATAAATGTAATAAAAACATTAATAATTTCATATAACTTTAAAAGCTATAATAATTTTAAATTTCTATATTTTTTACTGCTTACTGAATGGAGCGTAATTTTTTAATCTAGTTTACTTTTTCTTTTTTTCTCATTTTTCAGTAATTCCTTACGCAAAGATTTAAAACTCGGACGTCATTCCAAATAGCGCCTTTATTTAAAGTTCACTTAAGTTGATTAGTTTGGGGCAAGATAGTAATAAGCCACCTTTTCTCCATAGGAGATATCTGTACACTAAACTGCTCCTTAGTATCATCTCTAAATCAATATTTTTGTAGTATTTATGTTTAAAAATAGAAAAACGGAACACAAAGAAACTCCTTATTGAACACATGAAAGCTTTTCTTGGAGTACACTTTTTTATTTTATAACTGTCACTTTTGGGTTTACGACTACTAACGTTCAAATCCATAGCCATGTAATTTTGAACCCAATCCAGAAGGCAAGAGAACTCATGGATCAAGTATCGTGAGAAATTTGCCTTCGCGGAGGACTTTTTAGATGTAACTAGCCCGCATTTTGAGGCACATGGAGAGGAAAAAAACGAAAGCCTAACACGGTTAGCCTCATGGCAAGGGGACTTTTTCCCCAGGATCCGTCCACATAAACTGAAGAGCCAAAAAAGCTGGTATCCCTGCCTAATATCGTGTAGGGCCCCCACGAGCACGTAGAAGTGCCGCAACACGACGTGGCATGGATTCGATCAATGTGTGAAGTAGTGCTGAAGATAATTGACACCATGAATCCTGCAGGGCTATCCATAAACCAGTGAGAGTAAGAGGGGGTGGGGATGTCATCTGAATATCTTGTTGCATGATCTTTTTTCCGACCGCAGTGATGACGTAGATTTGGTGTTTTACAGAATTTCCGATACTCACGGTATACTCGTGAAATGGTCGTACGTGCAAATCCAAATTTCATTGCTATCTCGGAGATGCTATGTCCCATCTCTCGTGCGCCGACTATAACACCACGTTCAAACTCACTTAAATCTGTATAACCTGGCATTGTAGCAGCAGTAACCGATCTAAGAACTGTGCTAGACACTCCTTGTCTTATATACGCGTTACCGATCGCAGCGCTGTTCTTTGATTGACTCCATACCCCTTTATTTGCATACTCATGCCTATACCAGTTATTTTGGCTCTTCAGTGTATTTTACGCCAACACTGTGGTGTGTGTTAACCGGGTGCGGAATTCGTACAGATCAGTTATCACTGAAATTTGAATCTGATTCAAATCATTGGAAGGCGAACGCTCCATCCCCTGAATCACTAAATCTCGTTAAAAAATTTTTTAAAAAAAGACGAAAAAAAAGGCTTTCTTGAAAAATTTGCGAATCAGTATTTATAATGCATGAACTAGCATTTTGTTTATATATATACATATATGCCCTGAGCAACTGAATTGTATCCAGAAATTTTCAAGCTTGCATATTATAAAGTGTAGAAGTTATAAAGTGCTCGCATATTATAAAGTAAAGTAATTTTCTCATAGAGAACTTATTTTTAAGTATTATAATTGATTTTATAGACGCTTGCATTCTTCCACGTCTCTGTTTTATAATAGGGTTTTGATATGATATTCTTTATTTGATTTATCTAACTAATATTTCACAGTCAATCTTTTTCTTAATTAGAACTCATGCCTTCAACAGTCTATACGGAAACTTATAACTTTGCTGTGCGACGAAACGTAATTAACCATTATATAAATAAATAAAAAAAATTGAAATCTTTTTTTGAAAATATTAATTAACTACTTATGATTAATTGCAATAGAAAAATCATAAAGCCTGTTATTCTAATGTTATATTATTTCTTCGCACATTTCCCATAAAATAAAATAATTAATATATTCAATACAATAATTTAAATATTTTTGCTTAAAATGTTTTAAACATGGTAATGAAATCTATTATTTTTATTGCATATAGTTTTTATGACACAAACTAACTTAAATATTTAATTTAACAATAAAACTGATTATTAATTTTTTAAAGTTTTTTTGCATAAATTAATTTTAAGACGCCAGACGTAGTTCTTGCCTTAAGAAATCTTTTTAAATAAATTTGAAAAAAGTTCGATAGAAAGAAAAACAGTTATTCAACTATTCAATTTAATCTATTATCAAGCAAGTTAAAAAAGTTTAACTAATTATAAGATTATTGCGAAAGCAATTTAAGTTTAATTAATAATACTAAAAATAAACATTCGTACAATAAAATTATAATTAATGTGGTAAAAATCTGACACTTTAGAACAAAAGTTAATTTAAAGCTTTCGGTTTTCAATAATAATTCAAATAATTTTTTAACGGAATGAAAAATGTATTTATTAGTTTGACATAAAGAACAATTCAGGAAAGATGCATGCGAAACAATTTTTCGACATTTTTAAATATAAGTGCATCTGAAGTTAAATAAACTATTTTGCTTCTTCAAAATAATAAGACTGAACAATGAATCAAATATTGTGTTTAACTAAATTAATTTCCTCTTAACATGCTTCATACTAGTATATTCGAAAAAGCAGCTTCGGAAATTTGAGAAGTGCAATTTTTATATAAATATTCAGAGTGATTCAGTTCATAGGTTGAAAACTTGTGCGAGTAAGAGAGGCGAAGCACGTCAGAAAAAAGACTTGCTTATCCATGTTTAAAAATGCCAACGTTCGTCGTTAGGGATGTCTAACTATCCGAAGCTGATCATTCATGTACATTTGAAACGGTACTTTGATTGATCTAACTATCTTAATTTCATCTTAGTTTTGACTGAACATTTAATCAAATATTGTGTTTAAATAAATAAATTTACTTTTAATATGTTTCATACTAATATATTTCAAAAAACATTTTCAGAAATTTAAGAAGTGCCGTTTTAATATAAATATTCAGAGTGATTCAATTCACTGGTTGCAAACTTGTAGGAGAGGCAAAGCATTCATGTAGATTATCTTGTTATTTTTTTAAACATTTCTGCAGAAAATGAACGATATAATTGAACGATGATTTCGTTGCTAAGATTGACCACAAAAATCTTATACTATTTTCATAGTTTCATTACTTGAAATAGTTTACTGTGATAATTACACAGTAATTGCAACTTCTAATAGTAACATTACTGTACAGTGAGCCAAAAAAAAACGGATCACCCTAAATAACTTTTGATGTAATGATCGTATTTTTACATTCTAGAGCTCATTTTTACTGGTCCCAGGGAGTGACTTCAAATATGCTAATGAAGAAGTGAAGACGATATTTTAAGTAGCGAAAAGAGGTACAAAATGTAATTTCTCTGGATAAACGCATCTTTCTTTCAATGGATTTGGATTTTTTTTTTGATCCCCAAGATATAAGAGGTAGGCAAAGCTTAGACTTGACCAGTCCCCGCAGGGAGCATGCAGGAAAACCAGTGAACCAGCGTTGCTCAAATCCTCGAAATCAGCTCGACGGACCCGGTGATGCATGGCCCAGAGTCACGCGCGAAAGCGTACCACAAAGCCTTTTGACGGATAAAGGAGGCCGGTTTGAAACAAAGCTCCAAAACCAAAGCCACTGAGCGACAGTGCCAAACCTCACCATATACCCTCAAAAGGTCGACAGCGGGAGTGCCAGCCACCACCCCGCGACCCATTGAGGCATCCTCCTCCTGGAAAGAGCTATGAACATTTGTTTTAGCTTTATTGAGCAATTAAAATTGCAGACAAAAAGAGAACCATCAGCTTGAATGATTTTAAACATACAGAAAAATTTTATGAGATATATTTAAAAAGCAGCAATTAGTAAAGGATTCCTTTAAAATAGAGTTTGGGATGCCAGAATTGGCTCACAAAATCACGGGGCAGCAAGGCAGTCAGTCTTAATATTGAATTTGTCTTCTCAGTCTTCCTAGCTCTCTTTGATTTTCCGGGCATTTTTTTTTCGTAGCTAGATGATTCACATTTAATCTCAGCTCGAACTTCTAGTTCGCAGCTGCACAATTCACACAATTGCTCTTTGAGGAACAGTCACTTATATGATGCCCTGCTTTACCGCAGTTGCCTCGGAACTCCTAATTCCGATAATTTTTGGCATGTGGCCGAAACGGTTGCATTTATAGCACTTCAGTGCTCTTAGGTATTCATTCACCTTGGAGATTTTCCATCCAAGTTTGATGCAGGATTTCTTAAAAGTTTTCTTAAATGTTTTGGAGTCAACGCTCACCACCCTATGGTTTCCTTGTTTTGCCTTTATTGGAAAAAAGTACCTCAAGTTTTCATTCGACCATCTCTTCGTTTTGTTCTCGTAATTTTGTTTCCAACTCCTCTTATGTCATTTCGGACAAAGTAATTATCCTAGGCAACTTTTTGGTAGGCACTGCACAGGAATTAATCTCATTAAAGCCTTCGCTTTCAAATTCTTCAGTTAGTTTTTTGAATATCTCGTCGAGATTCCACTTGGAACATGATGCCTCCATTCTTGACTCTTCTTAACTTATAACACCCAAATAAAGCTCTGAGGGCTTGATGTTGTTTTTTTAAAAACTTTTCAGTTTCTTCCGAAGTATCGGCTTCCTTGGGTTCCACGAAAACGACGTGGACGGTCTTAACTTTGGGAACAATTGGGAGTACTGACTTAGCAACATCTGCATACGTTTTTGCTACTTTTTTATATTCGCATTAATAATTTCGTTTAACGCTCTTTCTGCTTCCAGTTGCAGTCCTTTGGTATAAGACAAAACCTTATTTTGTCTGGTCACTATATCATGGTATTCAAAAGCAATTTTGGTTAGTTTTGTTATGCGCGTTGAAGTAAATTTTTTACCCAAGCTCTCTTCAAAGGACTCATTTAAAACTGCCGCTACCTTTCTCCACTCTCATTGGGAGTCTTCAAAAGAATCACTGAAATCT